ACTTAAAGCACAGACCCTGAACCTATCAGTTCTGGCTAACCAACAGACACCTGAACCTATCAGGTTGGTACTCTGACACACAGAAGTACCCTGTCTGACACACAGACTCCCACAACAGCTTCTTCTTCCCAGCTGCTGCTTCGTCACATCCCAGAGTCTCTCAGCATCTTTCTCAGGGTGTCTCAGCATCTAAACTTCACCACACAGGCTTCACATATTTATACAGTACAGCCCCTCCTCCTGATGTCCCGCCTTCCACTCCCCATAGGATGGAACTTTCCCTCCAAACCCATGACAGACAGGTAACATCAGTGCTGTATGTAACACTGCCCTGCTACTTTTCAGAATTGAAGCCAGGAAGATGGCCACCATTACTGCAGTGTACACATTATTTTTTTAACCAAAAAAAAAAATTGTGGCTGACACATCAATATATTAGTAAAAGTATGTCACCGGGTGGGGGCCAGGGCCATTACATCACTAGCACGTAATGTTTTTTATTCTATGGAAAGATACATTAAAGTGTTGGTATGCCAATGTCACAGGGAGTGGGTGATCACCAGTACATCTGCGCAGATATCCCAAGTCCATTGTGTGCAATGCATTTTTGCAGGAGCAGCCGGTGCAAGAGTGGGACACTTTCCTAAACGGACACCCCTTCCCAATCAATGTTCCCTCTAACCTCCATGCCCCGTGTGTAAGCCCATCCCCACCCCCCACCCCCACATGGGGTTCTGTTGCAACCAGAATGAAAGGGGCTGGAAATGGTCACTGAGGGTGAACGGGGGAGGAGGAAAGCTGTGTGGAGGGGGGTGAAGTCAAGCCCGCTCGCACAATCGCACACCTTAGACTAGACTGAGGGAGACTTGTTTCTGATACATTGATGTATCGATAAATCTCTCTCTCTCTCGGGGCTGAATTGCCCCGAAAATAAACTGGTACCATGGTGTAGACGGCCATAATGATTCAAATAGGAGGAAATAAATCAGTACTGCTAAAAGTTCTTGGCATGTTAGTCCTGGGATAGAAACCACGTGACCACAATTCAGTACAACAGAGGAATGGAAAGTATCGGAAGAACCAAAAGACAGTACTGCAATGTTGGCAGGGAGTTTTCACTCCTTTAGTGTTCAGTTGGATGGAGATCCATGTCTCTTTTTTGTTCTTGTGTGTCACAATATCTGTTTATCATAATGTGTGTACAAAGTATTAAAATTACATGTTTTGGTCTTCATTTTAGATTGTATCAAAGAAGTATCGGAACTATGAGTTCCCACTGGAGATGACAGGACTTTGGCGATATCTGAAAAATGCTTATGCTCGGGATGAATTTATCAACACCTGTGCCGCAGACAAAGAAATTGAACTAGCTTATGCAGATGTAGCAAAGCGGCTTAACAAATCCTAATCAAAACCTTCTCAAATATCCTTTTCAATGATGCCTTCAAGTGTGTATGCACACACAGAGAAACATATGGGTGTTATATATCATTATATATCATTCTATATCACTGTGTTCTCTGGGTAACATTTTAGAGTGGTTTCTAATAATCTCCCCAAATTGAGAGAATGGCTTCAATTCCCACTGTACTCCTGCAGTTTTCAAAACCTGCTCTGTGGGACTGGAGGATCCTCCTGAGCAGATTTTTTGTTTTGTTTTTTTTTTTTCTTTTTTTCGAGAAGGGAAAAAAGAAGATAGTGACATAAAGGAGAAACCATTTCTCAAATCTTTACCAGTACACTGGAATAAGTATAGTTTATTCTCAATTTCTGAAACAGTTTTCTTCTATTTCTTCTATTAACAGTAGAACATAAATGTAAAGTGCTTTTTGAGTTTGATTTCTTTAATTTATTCAAGGACTCTTGTGATATGTTTGACAACCCACTGTGAATAGGATTGAGGACCTTAAATCTGGAGGAAACGTAGGACTGAGTATAAGAAGGAAATACCAAGTTAGGAGTGCAAATTTAAACCCGACATGATGAGCAAGTGCCTGTCCAAATGCTTTTGGATTCCCATCAGGTCTGAGAGGCAAGCATGCCCAGTGGTCAGAGACGGTTGGTGTTGTATCTAATATGGGAAAGGCCAGAGGTTGCCCATACCTGCAAACTTAGCAGATAAATTTAAAACTCATCTCATTCTCACAGAGCATAATTGCTACTGGGAAAAACTAAGGGGATGGTGCAATTCCACATGCTGGGTCACATTCTTTTGCTAATGTGTAGAAAATTGTGTATGTTCATGTTTGAAGGTGCAAAGTTAAAGACAAAAGGATATTCAGATGCTTTATTGAGGAATTCCCCTAAGTATTGAAAGAGTCCTTATGGTTAACAGAATCCTAAACTTTCCAACATACGTCCCATTCATCAGTATGGAGAAGGGGCTCACAACAGAAGTCAGATGTGTCACATGAACTCCAGGATGAGAGGATGAGTTCATTTTCTATTCCTAAATTGTCCTTCCGCCTTGGGGGGGGGGGGACAGCAGTACAGTATTCTAAAATGAAATCTGCACAACCATCACTAAAGCCCCATTAAGTGGTTGTCTTGCTGTTTACTCCCCAGAGTGGATGCCTTGTCCCTGCCTTTCTTACTATAATGAGTTCCTTGTCCTGAAGGACAAGGGTTTCCAATACTGATTGTTTTGTGTTACACCCAGGCTTTGTGTGAAGAGTTCTGCTTGAAGCCAATGAGTACTTTGTTTGATCAGCAGTTTAAAAAAAACACTATTTTTCTTTTTCAGACATGTAGAGATTTTAGCTCGTATATTCTGGCATTTCACAAGGCAAAATTTTCAGTCTGAATCACAGGGCCATCACAGAGCTGTGAGTAGGCTGGAACATGTTCTACCTTTTTAATATTTACTCCAAGTCACCAAATGAGTATCTAGTGTAGAACAGCAAAGAAAGAGAACTTGCTATATATTATACCATGCAGCCCATTAAAAAACAAATATATACAGTATTTTTAAATGGTGTCTATAAAGTGAAAGCAAATCTTACATTTCTGATTAGAATTATATGAATGTCTGTTTCCCAACAAACCAGATGTGACAAACTCAGGGAATTGAAGCATCAGACTAGACAGTAAAGAGAGTCTGTATTCCTTGAGATTACCCATTTTCCTTCTCAATAGTTTTTTTCCAGCAGTTAAATTTAGAAATAAGGCCTGTGTATTCCTTTCAGAGACAGATGACAAAATATGGCAGAGTAAATACAAGGCACACAGGTGAGAAAAATAATGTGTTCTGACAAGCACATCTCTTTAGTTACTGGAAAAAGCACCACTTCTAAAAACAGGCTGAAACACCTTTTAGTTTGATCCTTTCCTTAAAGATCACAATCAGCTGTGGGTAGCTGTAAGCAGCAAGTCACGTGCACCTAAGCTAATCTAATTCACCAGACTACAACATGTTTTTCCTTCCTTGGTTGCTGCTTAAAGACCCTGGGGGCTTAAGTGGCACATGAATATGATGGATACATATCATTCCAAAGAGCAAAGTGTTCAGGAATCACAACTGTGTTTTCTGATATGGTATCTTCAGAGCCAGTCTTTTCAAAAGTAGTTTCAGCTGTTGCTTTGAGAGACTCTAGAGTTGTGAAAACAAGATGTTTACCTATTTAAAATATTTTTACCTCAGTTTTCTCCTTTAAAAAAATATTTTGCTCTGCACTAAGACTTGTTCACCTGTCAAGAAACTTGTTGATGGATTATGGGTAGCTATAAATTACTCTGCCCTTTTTGATTTTGTTGCATTTTAAAAAGATATATATTTGTTGTTGTTTTTTAAGTGGGAGGTTGGTGTACTGTCAAGTGCCATCCCTGTTTCAGAGTATGGGTAGCCAAGACATTCATAGAAAAATGAACAGGTAAGCTGGGATGGATAGAGAGTGGCCCTGAGGGACAGGTGTGGGTGATGAGAATTGTGCCATGTATGTTTCAGTGTGTGTATGTGTCCATGTGAAAGAGGGAATGAGAGAGAGAGAGAGAGAGACAGTTTCTTTATTTTGAAATAGGGTGTTTTGTATGTATATTGCCCAGGGGTGAGTTAATATGTATATATGGTATCGATACATGTTGTCCCCTCTTTATATATTTCTTTGAGCATTGTCAGTTTGCTTTCTGTAAAACTAGTGGTGTTTGGTTGTTCCCTCTGGGGACAAATGTGTGATTTGGCATTTGAAAGGCAGATTTCTCCCTCTGCTTGTATTTCTTGTCAAAGTACTTGTCTCTCATCAGCTTGTCATCTGGGAATTAGGCTGGAACAGAAACCAGTGGATTCAAAACAGTGATTTGGGTTTTGGAGCTCATCCATCACCTCTGCCCTGTACATAAGAGCTTTGGCCAAGGTTTTTATTATCTGTTGTTTGGGAGGAAAGGGGTATCTATGACTGAAAACATCCACTGTGGAAACACCCCATGGCAGCTATTTTGTAAGAGCGCCCACAATAATCTTTAATAGTTGCAAAAGTTACAAAGATGCCCACTGGCTAAAACAGTTGGAATCCCTGAACGAGGTTTTCTGTGACTATATTTAGGGCTAGCTCACTGTCATTTTGATTGCCAGAGCCAATTCAATATATTTTGCTGCTAGTGGCAGAGTGGCATGTAACATCTTAATCCTCAAATTCATGGGGCAGAGTTCCGAAGGCCAATCATAATATCAAGGCTGAAAGTTCTGCAAGCACCACCACCCCCATCCCTTCTAGCTTAAACCACGAACCTTAATGTTACCCAAATACGGCAATGTCACAATCATACCTCAGCTTGACCATCTATTTTTAAAATCCTGCACCATACAGACAAAGGGTTGTTTCAGAGAGTCAACATTCATTATAGAAGTAAAAACGTGGGGTTCTCTAAGTGTGGAATTTTAGAGGAAAGAGAGTAAGGACATGTACACGGGGAATGTATAAAGATTAGTTCTTGGTCCCTGAGAGTAAAAGGTGAAATAAATGAGATTAATGTGATGAGAGTTATTATTACAGACAGAAATTTGAAGTATGTTTTAATTTCCATGCCAAAATGAATGTCTCCATCTTATTCAAGAGACTGGGAAACTAAGACAGAGTTTATTAAAGGCCAATAGTCTCTATAGCTAAAGTGGGATTTAGGTTCTGCTACCCCATACCTCAGGTCCAGAACTAAGTTCTAGACCATATTGTTTTTAGTGTCTATTTTATGCCATCACTGCAGTTAAGGGAGTCACGGCCCCATGTAATTCAAGGGTAGTATGCTGTGTTAAATGTTTAGGGCTTAGTATTTCCACGTGCTTCTGTCTGTACACTAGAACAAGGGTTTTGTTGTATTTGCATTTTCAAAGGAGCTCAAGCTAATCTTGATGGGGAATAAGATTTCTTTAAAATGTCCTGTCTAATTCAGTATGCTTATGGGGATGTGGTGGCACCGCGGGATAAACCGCAGAATTCTGTGCTGCAGGGTCAGAAGACCAAGCACTCGTAAGATCGAATCCACGTGACGGAGTGAGCGCCCGTTGCTTGTCCCAGCTCCCGCCAACCTAGCGGTTCGCAGGCATGTAAGTGCGAGTAGATAAATAGGGACCACCTCAGTGGGAAGGTAACAGCGTTCCATGTCTAAGTCGCACTGGCCATGTGACCACGGAAGATTGTCTTCAGACAAAACGCTGGCTCTATGGCTTGGAAATGGGGATGAGCACCGCCCCCTAGAGTAGAACATGATTGGACAAAAATTGTCAAGGGGAACCTTTACCTTTATACAGTTTAGGTAATTCAGAAAAGTCTACACATTTCTATTATTTGTCCAGTATTGGCTCCTGAGGGGTTTCAATCAGAGAACTTCAGCTTTTTGCTGTTTTGCTTCATTTCCATTTTTTTAGGTATAAAAGTATGGGTTAATCCCATACTTAATATTTCTTAGCTACACTGGCAAAGCAAGATTACTGAAAAAGAATATAAATGACAAGACATACAGTATGGATTAACAATAACTTTGTTCATAAATTTTTCACAAGATGTAAAGAAAGATGCAGATCAGAGGAGAAAGTAGCCAACAATATGGATTTAATCACTGATGTTTCAGAAAATGCAGACCAAATGTCTGTAAAAATGTCAGTTGTAGCCAAACATTTCTTAGATATTTGTTTCAAAGACACCAGTGCTTTACACAATAATTCATCCCTATCCAGGATCTGTGTTGATCCCTCTTTTAATATTAATTTTAAAAACTCTAAAGGGCACACTTTTTTTCAATTGAATGGAGTGCTGAAATGGCTGATAGTCTAACCAGATCTGTAAAGGCAGGCTGATTCCAAGGAGTTTTAAAGAGGAACTGTGGCAAACACTTTATTCAAAGATTTCCATGGGATACTTGTGTGAGGCAAAACCAAGAAATAGTCCTGTGGTAGGTGAAAGACTCAAGGGTTTATTGTGGCACAAGCTTTTGTGGGCTGTACTCCATTTCACTAAATTCATTCGATGGGTTAGGCCATAGTTTGTCAAATCTGTGTCAGCACAACACACAGTGTAGACACCTTTGTGCTGGGCCAATGAGCCCTGGCACCAGCTGGGCACACACAGGCTTTGAACCCCCCCTCAAAACACAAAACTCAACTCTTCTCCTCTAGTGCTGCTGGATTTATTTCCCTGCTTGGAGACTCAGAGGAGCATAGC